ATCCACTATACAATGACTGTCTATCACATCCACTATACAATGACTGTGTCTATCACATCCACTATACAATGACTGTCTATCACATCCACTATACAATGACTCTATCACATCCACTATACAATGACTGTCTATCACATCCACTATATAATGACTGTCTATCACATCCACTATATAATGACCGTACCTGAGCCACACACTTGTCTATCACAATCGTTCACAACCACGTTTCACCTCCAGACAACGGCTGCCGTGGACAACTTCGACTGTATCAAACTATCTAAGCAATTTCAGAGATTGAAAAGTTGATCAGCACAATCCCAGAAGTAAAAGAAACAGGAGAAGATTTCAAAGCCAAATCACACAACTGTATCATCTGTGATATCGACAGTGGCAATCAATGCAAGTCCCTCATGCCAAGCGTTGAAGGCTTTTATATATCGCCATTTCCAAAGAGCATCCTAATTACTCACAATCCCACCCACACAAGTGTGAGGCAGAAACCTATGATGATCACTTATTATTTATGGGTACCCTACCTTATAACAGCAGTCAGTCAAAACACAAACATGTGTTTAAGTTTAAGTAGCATGATTAGATCCTTTTTGTTCAAGAACCATCATAAAAAAATCAGTCGTCAAAAAACTTGGGTCTACAAAACGATGTCCTTATGCCCTGTCTCTCGGAGTTCAGTAATCATATCACTACCGTACAAAAAATGTCAGTTATCACATAAGATTTGCCACATATTTTCTTGAGCATCACAGGGTATCTTGAAAGGATAATTTTAAATTAGTCTGAGGGGGTCAACGCTGACGTAACATTAGTTTATCTGTCTTCTTGATCAGCGCTGTGTCGTTAACTTGAACACAAGGATAGTATGAGTCAGAGGACGAATGAGTGTGTGTGTTTGTTACTGTGTGTTTGTCAGTGTGCGTGCAGTGTTTACCAGGGGCGCTTTTAACATAATTATAGCAATCAGCAACTGCAACTGTGGTGTCACTGTTAGGAACTTTGCTATCACAAGCAAGAACCCCCAGTTCCATTCACAAGGGGGAGACTTTTATTGAGTATCTCTGTCTTTCTGAGGGGATGTTGTATTCTTCTCAGCCCAGGTCTGTCTTTCTGCGGGGATGTTGTATTTGTACAGGTGATTGTTTGAGACAGGTAGCCGTTAGAGCAGGTATAACTGTACTGTACCGTTGCTCACTCACTGGCCAGTTAGTCCAGCAGCTTGAGTCCACACAAAGAGCTCTCACCGTCAAACACGAGGAATCATAAGCACTGGTTTTTTGCTATTGGAAATTTGATCATTCTTATTACTACTTTTTTAAATACCATACATGGACTTGTTTTAGCATTGCATTTCCAGTTAAATAAATCGGTATGTTTCACAAGTGAAGTATAAGGCGATATCTCACACGTGAAAGATAAGCAAAATGTGCATAAATGTGAGGCAGCAGGAGGAAACCAGGCACTTGTCAAAATAAGGAAATCGAAGAAAAAGGCATTTTCCCACCATTCAAGTGAACCGGGATTACATCAGAGTGCAGTGATGTATTTTACTGCCATGAACAAGTCTATATTCTAACCACAACATTACTCATATTTTTAAAAAATATATACATAGATAGTGTCAATTGCCACCGAGTGACGCGGTGGCAATGGACAAAAATTGACAGCAGCGTCAATTGCCACTGAGTATATTGGAGCTCTTTTGCGTTGGTGAGTATAGATCTAGTCTATCTATTGTGCTCGAGTGCTCAGTGTTGTGCTTTCGCCTCTCTGTCCCTTTGTGTGTGTGTGTGTGTGTGTGTGTGCGTGTGTGTGTGTGTGTGTGTGTGTGTGTGTGTGTGTGTGTGTGTGTGTGTGTGTGTGTGTCTTTTCCTGCCCCCCGTCCCCCGATTTATGTTCCCCGCTATAACGTGAATTTCTGCTTGAGTTTGTGTGCGTTTGTGACCTTCGACTTCTAGAATTGCCTGTGTTGGTTCGACATCAAAGTGTAGGCTTAGGCTAGCCTAGATCTAGATGTAGGCCTACGTCTCATTGAAAACACGCCAAGTTGGTACCGTAGCTCTAAACTAGATGCTCGTCCAATGAAATTAGTAGAGAACAAATTGACCCATTAGACACACATTATGAATAGAAGCTAAAGATAAGCCAAGCTTAGTGTTGTTATAGGCTTGACACCGCGTCACTCGGTGGCAATTGACGCTACCGTCAATTTTTGTCAATTGCCACCGCATCACTCGGTGGCAAATGACGCTACATATATGCAGTTTCTAAATTTATCAACTTTTGAATGGTACATTTTCTGCTTGCTTTGCCTGCTTACGTTATTATTGTTTTGTTTGGGGTTTATTCCCTCGAGGGAGACATAAAGATAGCACAACATGGAACTAGTGTGGATGAAAACAAGAAGAAAAAACAATCCAGATTTTGTCCAATCGACTCTGACTCTTGACGGGCATGAAAATTTTGTTTTCATGTGAGACTCTTGAATGAACCCTCTTGTCCACTTGACTGGTCATTGAACTTTAAAATTGTTGGTCCAGACATATTTGGTCAGCTGATATCAGTATGGTAATGGCAAAAAATGTACTACACTCGTTATGGAGGTAGATCATGACTTATCTTACTTGTGAAATTGCCAACCACTCTTTGAAACTTGTGACAACAACATGGCAATTTCACTCGTAGGATAAATCATGATCTCCCACCATTCATGTAATTAATCCGTTATCATTTCTACGTGTCGGAAGCAAATAAAAAAGAAAGAACATGACAAAAAAAAGAATCAGTTAGTTGATTAATTCAATTAAGATTTTTGAAACTATCACATTTTTTCAGTTTGTACATATCTTCTTATCAAAATTTGGTATCATTTTACTCATAGACCTGTCTCAAGCTAGCACTTTTGATTTCTTGTTTATTTTTATTAGCCTTACACAAATTTTGACTTTATCACTGCAAATTATTAATTTATATATGAGATTATGGGTATTTTTATGTGTGTGTTCTGCAGCAAAAATGACGGTAATACCCCTCAAAACATTGCATCTGCGTGCGCGGGTCTAAAAGTAAAAATTTACCTCTATTACGTAGGCCTAGATCTAAATGAAAGTGCTCTGCCTAAACGGCAAAAATTGTCTGGGATCAGAAACAAATTCTCAGCCTGTCACTGCAATTTTCTAGAAGTGTCTGATTGCGAGATCTCTGGAACTGTTAATACTGTCTGATCACCAAGAGCTAAATTAGGTATTTTTTTACTTTCCCTCCCGTCTCACACTTAGCTACCAGTTGTCCATTTTCTACTAAATATTGAGGCATTTTTGAACACGAATATCAACTTCATTTCCGTCGCAAATTAATATAGATCTCTAGTCTTTGAAACATTTCATCTGCTCTTTATCGAGATAGACGTGCTTTGGACCAATTGGGGGTTCCAGGGGGCCCCCCGTGGCAAAAGAAAATCTGGGGGTGCCCCCCTGTTTTAGATCTAGATTTGAAATTTTCTTGAAAATAATTGATTTGCGACAGTTTTAGTGGCTTTATGTGAGATCCTCAACAAACAGTACTGCAGTTAGACCCCAGAAGCAGTGCATCTGAGTGCGGGAGTGAAAGTAAAAATTTACCAATCTTTATTCTGTCTGATCGCAAGATTTCTGGAACTCGATCTTGATAAGATGAAGAACATAAAAAAACAAAGCTACACTGTACAGTTTCTTACAACAGAGAAAACAATGCTTTGGCCACATACTGCAGCATGACTGAGCAAGCTCAGCCTGATTAATCTGAGATAAAATTCTAGATAAAAATAGAACAACGAGTCTTAACAGACAGTGGAAGAGGAATCCACACTGATTATAGATCTAGATTCTAGATCTAGATCTAGATCTAGATCTAGATCTAGATATCTAGATCTAGACTACTTCATCATTTCAATGAATGATAGTTAGACAGTCTCTGTCTCTCAAACACACACACACTCACAACACCGTACCCACTCACACACACACACAAGTAACTTCAGTGACACACAAATATTGCACATGCAACGATTGACAGCAGAACAAAATCGACACGCTTATATATTTGCGTATATTATATAACTTTACTTTATACTGGGCCTTGGGATGGTAGACTCTAGATTCTAGATCTAGATATCTAATTAATTCCGAGGACATCGTAGCATGTTCGTCATAGATCTACCAAACAAAACCCCAAACAAAATAGACAGTAACAATCCAGCTTACCATTTTGCGGATCTTGTTTAATCTCTGCAATCTGACATTCGCCTAGAGATCTGGTCATGAGACCTGCAGAGATTTGGGAACTTTGCAGACGACTTCTGTTTGTTCATCATGTGATTCGGAATCGCGCAACAACATTTCAACGGGGTATCGATGTCGTTACATATAGAAATATCGAACTTTCTCTGTGGGTGGTTGGTGGGTGCTCTGGTGTGGTTTGCTCGAGGACCTTGCTCAAACATCTATCCTCCTTTTATCTCTCCTCCTTCTTTTTCGTGTTTGTTACTCTCTTGTAACACATGTAATCTTCGGCATTTATATGACATTATTTCTTTGCAAACGCCGTAAAACTCTGACTAAAACAAAAACAACTTTTTCACCAGGAAAGTGCAGTATCTTCTCTCTTCTGTCTGTGTTATGTAGACTCTTTGTTTATAATCAAACAAAAGAGAGGTGTTGTTTATTTTAAGGTCTTTTCAGACCTAGATGTTAAACTATGAGAATGAAATACATTATAATCAGTTTGTACCGAGTTTCGATGGGACAATTAGGCCTCTATACAACAGGACAAGTAAAAAATCTTTGCCTCGGCTAGGCCTTGTAGGCTAGGGCCTACCATGGGCCTACTGAAAAAAACAACGACTTTCCCAATATCGATATTGGACACGGCCCACGGGTCGACACAGAGGGCACCGAGTACGGGGGGTGGGTGCCGTGGGAGACACAATAGACCAAGATCTAGACCAAAGATCGTATAACATAATATAAGTCAGGTACTTAATACCATGTACATGTTTACACGATCTTTGCTAGACCAAGGCTAACCTGCAAAGTAGACCTAGAATTTAGCTCTAAGATATAACTTCTTTTTACCTCCTCCCGGCAAATCATACAATCGAATCTACCTATTGTGCAGTATTATAATAGACAGAATATAAAGGCAGGGGTTGGGTCAGTGTGTTTACTGTTTGATGAAAAGTTTTGTTTTTTGATCCCCAGTTAGATATCTAGTTCTTGGTGAGAGCGGAGAGGGCAGTTCAAACAGTTGATCCAGTGTTGTGGTTACGTGCAACAGTGGCTCCACTCTATAGCCGAATTAGATCTATTTGCATAATTTTTGTTTTCTGTCGCTTTTATCGGAACAGTTTAATTAATCCATGAAACAAGTCCAGGACTCTCTCTCTCTCTCTCTCTCTCTCTCTCTCTCTCTCTCTCTCTCTCTCTCTCTCTCCCAATGTGCTTGTGTGTGTGTGTGTGTGTGTGTGTGTGTGTGTGTGTGTGTGTGTGTGTGTGTGTGTGTGTGTTTTAGGCCTATTTTCTCTAGAAGAGAGGCGTGTAAGGCTTGGGGGGGGGGGGGGGATAATATGTTCCTTATAATATAGCCTACACGTGATGTAGATGTTCTAGATGGTCCACACCTGTCACACAGTGGCTGCGTCATTGACTGCACGCTGATGGCGCACAGTCTCGAGATCTAGGCCCAGATTCTATAATATTATATTGTTGTTGTTGTTGTTGTTGTTGTTGTTGTTGTAGGCCCTTTGCTACAGCTACTGCCAGTTCTGTTGATGGGTTTTTGTTGTTGTTGTTGTTGTTGTTGCTGTTGTTGTTTTGTTTGTTGTTGTTGTTGTTTTGTTTGTTGTTGTTGTTGTTGTTTTGTTTGTTGTTGTTTTTTTGTTTGTTGTTGTTGTTTTGTTTGTTGTTGTTGTTTTGTTTGTTGTTGTTGTTTTGTTTGTTGTTGTTGTTTTGTTTGTTGTTGCTGTTTTGTTTGTTGTTGTTTTTTTGTCTTGCTGTTTTAATTGAATGATTGACTGATTCGCCTTCTTGTATACTGCCGCTAATTCTATTTCTTTTTTAAAATACGGGTAGTTATAATTTCAATTAATTAAATTATAGTTTGTAATGAATTGTACACGCATATCTAGGTTGCTGGTTTTGTTCGTTTTTTGTTGTTGTTTTTTGTTTCTGTTCCGACCTGTAGAAGTAGAAACTGGCAGTCTAGCACGTGCTGTATGGTACTCGTCATCTTTGTAAGCAGCTAACATGTGATCCCTACGTGTGGGAGTTAACACATGAATGTGACCCCTGCTTGTGGGAGTTAACACATGAGTGTGACCCCTGCTTGTGGGAGTTAACACATGAATGTGACCCCTGTGTGGGAGGTAAACACATGACCCTGTGTGTGGGAGACAACACATGACCCTGTGTGTGGGAGTTAACACATGGCCCTGTGTGTGGGAGTTAACACATGACCCAGTGTGTGGGAGTTAACACATCACCCTGTGTGTGGGAGTTAACACATGACCCAGTGTGTGGGAGTTAACACATGACCCTGTGTGTGGGAGTGTGTGGGAGTTAACACATGACCCTGTGTGTGGGAGTTAACACATGACCCAGTGTGTGGGAGTTAACACATCACCCTGTGTGTGGGAGTTAACACATGACCCAGTGTGTGGGAGTTAACACATGACCCTGTGTGTGGGAGTGTGTGGGAGTTAACACATGACCCTGTGTGTGGGAGTTAACACATGACCCTGTGTGTGGGAGTTAACACATGACCCTGTGTGTGTTAGTGTGTGGGAGTTAACACATGCCTGAGTCTGTCTAGCATCCTACTCCAGTCACATGACTGAGTCTGTCTAGCACCCTGTGTCACATGACTGAGTCTGTCTAGCACCCTGTGTCACATGACTGAGTCTGTCTAGCACCCTGTGTCACATGACTGAGTCTGTCTAGCACCCTGTGTCACATGACTGAGTCTGTCTAGCACCCTACTCCAATTACTGAGTCTGTCTAGCACCCTACTCACTCCAATCACTGAGTCTGTCTAGCACCCTACTCCGGTCACATGACATTTTCAGGTCAGCAGAATTTTTTTTTTCGCGTGCCCGGAATGCGATAATGGACGGCACAGATTTGGAGAGTCTGATAGAAAAAACTGTTGTACTTTCTCATGTCTGTGGGGATCAAGCCAAGCTTTTGTACTTTCTCATGTCTGTGTGGATCAAGACAAACTTTTGTACTTTCTTATGTCTGTGGGGATCAAGCCAAGCTGTTGTACTTTCTCATGTCTGTGGTGATCAAGCCAAGCTGTTGTACTTTCTCATGTCTGTGGGGATCAAGCCAAGCTGTTGTACTTTCTCATGTCTGTGGTGATCAAGCCAAGCTGTTGTACTTTCTCATGTCTGTGGGGATCAAGCCAAGCTGTTGTACTTTCTCATGTCTGTGGCGATCAAGCACCTATCAGCACAGCGCCATTCTACTGTCCATTGATAGCCTACGTCTATATACGTTCTTCTACTGTCCATTGATAGCCTACGTCTATATACGTTCTTCTACTGTCCATTGATAGCCTACGTCTATATACGTTCTTCTACTGT